AGAGAGAGAGAGAGAGAGAGAGAGAGAGAGAGAGAGAGAGAGAGAGAGAGAGAGAGAGAGAGAGAGAGAGAGAGAGGGAGGGAGGCAGTGGCCATACCTGCAGCTGCGGTACTTACCTGGGCGCCATAGCTGGAGTCCACGCCAGCAACCTGCACCAGACGCGCCTGCGGCAGCTCCATGGCGGCAGTTACCTGCAGGTGAGACAGCAAGGAGGCGGCATCTTCTTCTTCCTCTTGTCCTCACCCTCCATCTCCATCTCTCCTCTCCTCTTTCTTCTTCTTCTTCTTCTTCTTCTTCTTCTTTCAGAGAGAGAGAGAGAGGGAGTTTACAGGCAGAGGTTACATCGGGCTATGAAGCCCAGGAGCTGATTTGACATTTTTGTGGCAGACATTGATTGAACATTCGGCGGGGAGACTATTTTTGGACTTCGCTATCGCGATCTTGTTCTTTTCCCTCCTCTCCATCTTCGTCTCGCCTCTCCCCCATCTCCTCCTCCGTGGTATCTCCCCATGTGCGTGCTCAAGGAGGGACCTTTCCTCTATGTATGCGGTCACTCCTCTCCCTCTCACATGTGTGGTGTATGATGGGGTGTCACGTTAGTATCTGACAGGTCAGGCCATATCTTTGAGTCTTCCGTTGCGCTACATTGTGCTATTTTTGTATGTATCTGGATGTACATTGCTTGTTGATGCTTTGCTGAGGCTGCATTGTCCATTCGCATCCTTTTCATCACTTTGCGGATCCTTGGCTCCATATACATTGCTCAAACGAGCATGCATCAACTCTGCTTCCCTGAGCCCAGCCATGGTGGCGCTCACTCACAGCCACCGCAGCTGCATTCCTGCACACTGCACAACAGCATCGCCGTCTCCCAGCAATCTGCCCGCATGTGCTCTGCCTGGTGGCCTCCAACCTTTTGTCCTAGTGGAGGCCGCATCCAGATCTAGTAGACAGTGCCTGCGCCCTCCTGAGACTGTGTCCAGGTCCCAGCCTCTGTAAGTAACTTGCAGGCTGGGCCTACCGATTAGTTACAGTGGCTGGCGCCTGTCAATAGACCAAAGGGGCCCCTCACCGGCCTTCACTTTGGGCCGGCATCAATTTCCCAGGCCCGCCTTCACTCAGGGCGGCCTTAAGTTCTCAGAGGGCCGTGCTTAAGTTCTCATGTCACCTCATCTCAAGGTTCCTTGGTAAGGTTTGCCAAGGTGGTGGGTGGTCCCTGGGGATCTCGGATCTCACAGGTGTACCCCCACCATACATTAGTCTTCTCCTAAGGAAATAGGATGGTTTTTCTACCGGGGCGGGCCGTGCACACGCTAGAGTAGATTGGGGGTGTAACTTTACTCCTTCCCCTTCCTCTCTATCTCTATCCCTCCCCCCGTTCCCCCTGGGTTTTTGCGTATGGTTGGATGTCTACGGAATAGCCGTTTGAATAATTATCTCCCGTAGGAGTAACAATAAAATAAATAAATAAAATATTAAAATAATATAAAATAAACAATAATAAAAATGTGGCTGGTTTTGGACACCGGATTTCTGACACGATATCGGGTGTGCAGCTTATGAGGAGCGCCTGGGAACCTTTATTTGGGCACCAGGGAACCTGGGCCCGGGTATGTAATTTTTTTTGGGCTCCCTGGCACCAGTGGCACATCGGGTTTTGGGCGCTGTCAGACCCTGGCGATATGGGGTTGTTCTTTAGCACTGAGCGAATGTGCTGCTGGGACCGTTGGGATTTGTGTCGCAGGCACTAGTCCGTGCTGCCGGGTCGAATGCAAGTATATCTGAATTGGGGATGACAAGTCCGCCCTCTCATTTTTTATACAAGTCTGCGAATGCGCTGCTGGATCATCCGTGTTGGATGAGGGCAGGTTTCTTGCCGAAAGATTGCAATACTCAGCAAAAGGTACATTATGGCTAGATGGTGCTGGAAGACGCTCTGTCGACTGAGCCGTCTGAGCTGATGGGATCACGCATGTGAAGTGGCGGAAGAGGATGGGAGAAAAGTGAGGAGGGATAGAGGTAAGAGAGGGAAGGAGTGGATAACATAGGTGGTGGTGCCCTCCTGAAGAGACTGGTTTTACGCGCAAGTCAAAACGCGTCGAGGGGAATGCATTACTTGTGGTGTTTGGTAAACATGAATGCTGTGCTTTGACGTTTTTCAAATTCTGTCATTGTTTTATCCTCCATAGAACTGGTGCTGTTTGCCTGTTCACTGCTCTGCCCTGATTCTTCTTCTTCGTCTTTCAGAGAGAGAGAGAGAGAGAGAGAGAGAGAGAGAGAGAGAGAGAGAGAGAGAGAGAGAGAGAGAGAGAGAGAGAGATACACACCTGTCTCTTATACACATCTAGATGTGTATAAGANAGAGAGAGAGAGAGAGAGAGAGAGAGAGAGAGAGAGAGAGAGAGAGAGATACACACTTGCAATATTAGACAAAACGTGCGAGGTTTTACTATCGCAGCATACACGTCCTGTCCACGGCATGCAACAAATGTCGCGATTACCCTTCTACCTCACTGCTCAGGTAATCATTTCAGCCACTGTCTCTGAATTTATACCCTATTTTCCTTCTCCTCCCCACCTACTTGTCCACATGCCCTGCAGCGTCCTCATCATCGTTTCCTCTGTGTCTACCGTAGTCTTGCTCTGTGCTGCTCTTTCTGTCATAGATTTCCCGCTGTCGTCGATTTGCAGTATATAACGTTACATCCCTGTGTCCGCTTCTGTGTTATTGTCTGTTATCTGGAATTCCGTACTCATACATTCAAAGGCTATCCCTATGGCCGTATTTCCGTTGAAGTTTTCCGTATATCCGTCGTGGATTACTGACTTGTGTCATGGCTTTGTTTTTGTTTCTTGCTGTTGTTTTGTTTTTCGCGCGGTCACGGGTATCGTCATTATCTTCTCAGGTGAGTACTTTTCAACTTCCATCGCCTGTTTCTCCAAAAACATGTTGTGGATTTTTATTCGCTTCATTTCTAAGCTTACGTTAAGAAATCCATACGGCCCTTCTTGCATCATTATATCTATAGATTTTTTTTTTTAGTTCGATTTTTTGTGCGTTTTTTAGTGTTTTGTAGCGTGCGCGTTTATTTTATTTTATTTACCTTTTCATTTCTTGTTAGGTGCTTCTTCTGCTTCCAAATACTTACGGAATATATTCCGTACTCTTGTGTCCTTGCAGTTTCTGATGAAAGCCCAGATCGCCGTGCGGGTAATTCTCCATGGGTAGTCCATCAGTCTAAGTTCCCTACAAAACAACTTTAATACCGCGCTTAGATCTACGACCTCATATGTGTTCGCTACCATTCTGTGAAACGTGCCAATTATCGTCAGCACTTTTGTCTCCTCGGAACCAGCACTCCTGAAGTGAGGCAATGTCCTGAGAGAGAGAGAGCCCAACAACCCCTCCTGGAGTGTTGCTTCATTCTTCAGTTTATGTGTACACTTCAGGAGGGGTTCATGATCCATCCTTGTTATGGTTGTTTCGAGATATATCCATTTCATACTTCCTTTTTCTGATGTTGATTCCAGCTTTAGTGAATGGTGGTAACACGATGCAAATGATTCCATGCATCTCAATTCGTTTCGGGTCCTGTATACACAAGCTGGATTATACAGAACTTACAACCTTGTTCTATTTTCTTCCTGCATTTTAATTGAAATTTTGTGTCGTTAATTTCAACAATTGTGGAACCAAATGTACGTTTAATTATTTTCCAATTTTTATTCCACATTTTTTCGCCGTGCAGTAGATTGTCGCTTTTGGCTGTAGTAGTTTAGTAAGCCTAGTTGTTTATCCTGACCGTACTATTTTGAACAAAATCGTTATATTCTGATTTATGCATCGTCTCCTGTGTTTCTATCCTCTCCTTCTTCGCCTGTTCTTCCGAATT